GTGTCCTGCACCAAATAGGCAGGATGATGCTTAATTCTGGTTGGATGATTTGCTGCCAGACTGTCTGACATAACAGTAGTCATGGTTGGATCACATGTGACTGGTGATGTGTCAGTTGGTAAAGGTCAGGCCCAAATTCGGCCCTTCCATGCTTGTCAGTGAATGCTGCACAAAATCAGTGTTCAGTGGGTGAAGATAGCCGATCTCTATCAGGCTCGAAGGACCATTTTCTGTCGGAATGTTATTCTGGGCTCTATCCAACTCATACAATCACCATGAACAACGGAAAAGGATTCCATCGTTGATTGCAGATTTATTCTGTCTCAATATCAGCACTGAGTTTGACACCTGGGTTTCTACATACAACAGTGCGTTGATAAAGATTGGTTTATCAGCCCCTCCCTCTCAAGTAGCCCTCCCTTGTTAGAGTTGGACGGTAGGCTGCATTGACAAGGAAACGTGAATATCAAAGTGGTGAATTACAGTACCGAGTCCCTGGTAATAATGTAGGAGACCCTGCCTTAGCAAGGGCGACCTCACTGTTTTAATTCTAAACATGAATATGCATATTGTGTAGTTGATCTACATTGTTTCTGGGTTATTTGCATGTTTGTATGTCAAGTAATTGTACTTGGTGACCCTTGAGCTTCCCGCGCACAAGGACTGGTAACCGTTGTACTTGGTAGACCAGGAAAATAAGTCCAAATATTATTTTAGATAACTGACTGAATATATCAAAATTATTGTCATGTACAATAATTACCCCTCGTATTATGTGATATTTTGGTGACGTGTTAATTGAAGCTCACGTTACTTGTACTATAATTTACTTGGAAAGTAACTGTGCGTATGAATACAAACAAAACAGTATAAGAGACGGCCAAAGACTTTGACTGGGTTGGCCGTGGAGTTCGAGTTTTAGAGGGACGCGGAGTGCATGGGTATATTTTGATGTCAGTAGCACCCATTTCCACATCTGTGTAGGCATAGTCCCTTGTCGATTGTGTAGTACAGTCTACACGGAAACCCCCAGTGAGTACATGTACTTCTTGATTTCGTTTGTGATATTGATGTGTTATGATGTTTAAGGACATTGCCGTTCACTTTTAAGTATCCTATGTAAGCAACGATACATGTGCTATTGTCTGTGAATGTACTGTACGTGTAAAGTGTGTGTATGTAGATACAGGTTGATCATTGGAAGCTCTCATTATTTTGTTATTTCAGGCAATGGGGGTTCTATATTGAAAGGATGCCTGTGATAGTTGCTGGTCACCAATAAATCAAGGCTACATATATCCTGCTGAGTCTGTCTTGGTCTTTGTGGGTGTATTGTGCCTGTGCTCGTTCCGTTTCACAATGGGACCGGGCCTCCTTGTGGCGTCCCATTACAATAATATATAAAATTCAATCTTCAATGAGATGGGTACATTAACCTGAGACGAGCCCATCATTAAATTAATACTGGGTCACTAGGGTAACCCAGGTGGACTCCCTGGCCGTACTACGATACGGAGGGAGGTCAGGATATAAAGGGTGCAAAACCGGGCGAAAAATTTTCATCTACCTTTTCCAAGGAGCCAATTTCACTTTTGTAACTCCTATGCGTCCTTATCTCCTCAGCTTGTGGGGATGCGAAATTCGACACATCACCACCAAAGACAAAAACGGGGAAATAAAGTCGGACGTAACGTTGATTCTTGCCATCGTTGTGGACTGTTTTCAGCCGTTCTCCAGTGCAGTTCGTACAGCGTGCGCGCGCAACTATTCGGCGTACGTGATTCCACAACATGGTTCTCACCCACGAGTACCGTTGATCTCCATGCCGAGTACACACAACATCGGGCCTGGAGGCGAGGCGTTGTACGAGGGCCATGAGAGTTTGTGCCAGGCAAGCAGCTGCTTCATTTCAGGAAATTTACATCTTATTTTCACTTTTTTTGAAAAAAAAATTCCCGCCCAAAATATTTGTAAGCGGTAGTTTGTTTACGTTTTGATGCGATGTTGGAAAGTTCGAAACAAAGAATTTGAAGTTTACGTGAAGTTTTCAAAAATGGGCTGTGGTGGAGAACGGTGTGAAGGTTTTCTGCTATATTTTTTTCTTTCCCACTGGACGCGTTTGCATATCGACCTAACTCAGCACCCATTCCGTTCATCCCGCATTCGAGCGTAAGAATTCAGTGGCTTGGGAACGAAAGAAGAACACAAAAGTACAGTAAGTTTAAAACATGACGTTTATTATTTAAACCGATGTCTATCTGTCATTATAACATTGCTAGGAAATGTTGAAATTCACAACATAGATGTATATCCCCAGTTTTACTATCATGTACTATACATGCATGAACCACGTGAACATGCACACTGGCTCCGACGAGAACGTCTATATTGTACATGTACATGCACATTAGACTGTACACGTACGGCGTGGTACGCTTGTAACAGGCCGCAGTATCATTCACGGTACGTATGTGGCTTGGACAGTTTTGTGCATGTAAAACACCTCCCATAGACCGCGCTGGGCAGAAGTACCAAAAAAAAATAATAATAATAATAATCACGATTCATAAAGTCAAACGAAAATTTTTTTAGCTACATAGAACTGATTGTATTGTGTAGTTGAGATTCTGGCGTGTCGTATGCAGTGTCTCGCTCTTCTGTAATGAAAAACTTCTAAAATTGAGAAATTGGTGAAAAAAGACCGTCCAAGAAATCGATTGAAAATGGGAATAGTTGTTTCATCTTAACAACCACTTTGAGGCTAAATTTCATATTTATGTAGCATTTTCATGATTCTGTGGTGTTTTATTCGGTTTAAGCCTTCTAAAGCACATACAAAGAGTTTTATTGTGATCGCTTGTTAATAAACTTTGTGCAAACGAAATCTTCAAAACGAGAAGGCTCAACAGAGGATTGCTAAGGACAATTCCATATGGTTCACGAGAGTTTAGTCAAATAACCACCGCGCACGGCCAAAGTCGTCAATTCCACACCTCAAATGGGAGTGAAACTACGTGGAATGTACGGTACATCTATGTATGTTTATGGACAGACGGTACCCGAACACATAAATAGAGCACATTATTTTAGACAAAACTTCGGCTTGGGGCTCAGGAGTCCTTAGTATCTAATGTGAATTTATTTTCTAATTATGTTTTCTTTATCTTGTTTCTCATTATTCGTTTATGTGTCACAAGATTAAATAAAATAAAATTGTACCACAATCACAGAATACAGAAATGTGTTACACAATATACAGTGCTTTTCATCACAGAAAGAAATCACTACACTGTTGTGTTCAAACTCACAAGCCTTAATCCTTAATGTTGGAGTCCCCTTATCATGTACAAAATGTAGCTACCTATTAACTTGTTAATATTAATAACTCAAAATATAAAGGCAGGTAAGTCTCATAATAAATTGACAAGCTTCAACCCTTCCAACTCCACCGTCATTACAACAACCATATTAAAGATAGGTGTAAACATCTAAATGCTTAAATGTAATACGGTGTTTTGTGGGGAAATAACCCCTACCCAGAGGAAATCCTGAGCCCTCGGAAGAGAAACTAACAGAGGGCGGTCGTTGGGAAGGTGGTGGGATATTTTCGTTGTTGTCTGAAAGGCTGCATGTAATGGCAAACGTGCTGCTGTCACTAACACTGCACTGAACTCATCACCTGTCGTGCATTGTTAATGAACAAAACTTTCCACCAACCATGTACTCGCTCATCGCACATCGACAGGCATGGCATGAGACTCACCGGCCGATGATTGTGCGCCAGCGCCTCGCGTTGCTTGAATATTTAGGGATCGTCGCAAGTTTTGTTTACCAACTGACGTTGCTATGTAAACACTGCTGTGTTTCATAAAGAAAAAAAAATAGTCGGTCTCTGGTCAGCGCGGGCTTCGATTTTGAACGCGCGCGTCAGTTTTTTTTCCCATTTTCTTTCCTCCACATTTTAAAAGCAGCTTCCTCTATTTTGGCACCGCGAGTAGACTGATTCCCGACCACAAGTGCGTCGCAATTTGTTCAAGGAACCAGACTAATTCGTAAGCAGCTCGTACCCGGTGATAGATCCGTACGACTGCTTAATGTTGATGTTGAACATAAACAGTAGACCATGGGTAGGTTACAAAGTTGTAGCCAGCTGATCGACATCAATGGCGGCATGACGTATGAAGTACTACTATTAGCCTTTGCACTTTGATTAAATATGCCACTCATTTCTGTGTCCGTTGCCAGTCTTAAAAGCCACCCCCCAAAAAAAACGCATTGCCGCATCAATTCTGGAACTGACCAGAGACCGAATCTCTTTTTTTTTTGGCCTAAAGCAGATTAAACTTGCGCTTAATCTTTATATGACACACACAAGGTTGAGCTGGGCAACACGATCGTGGTGCGGCTGACGAACGAACGCCTTGACCAAGGCTACGGATTTCCTGCCTTGAGGAGCTAGGAAATGTAGCATTGAGATCACATTTATGGTCTTTACTCACTCAAGCGCCCAATTTCAAGTGTTCTAATAGGCCTCAGGCACCAGTGTTTGGAATGCCCTACTCTTCCTAAGTCATTGTGAGCACAGATCTCATACGGCGCTGGAGAGTAGCAGTTCATGTTCTTATTTCATATTGATGTTCAGATATACTGGGCTAGAGCTTGTTTGCAGTGTTCCCAAAATAAAAACAAAATCAATATAGGCAGACGCTGAAACTTTTACAAGCATTTCCTGTTTGCACATGAGTTGTTTCTGGCGTGAGTGGGTGATCTGACATTGAGGTACATTGCCTAATACCTTGCTTATTCGATAACCTGGTCATGAGCTGAACAAAATTATGTCAATTATTTCTTTATCAAGAAATATGTCTCTTACTACAAAATTACGTCGTTAACCCCCAAAAGTAATTCATTACAAACATGGTGAATAACATTGAAATTGATACCCGTTTTACCGTCTTGTAAACTTTGGAATATAGCCAACGTGTCGGTATTTTTTCCAGGCACTTGGGAACCATGAGTTTGATAATGGCCCGGAAGGACTGAGTAAGTTCTTAGAGGATGTCCATTTCCCGGTACTGAGCTCCAATATCAACGCCAGCTTGGAACCGTCCATCAATGGCTTGTTTAACAAGAGTACAATCATCACTGTTGGAGACCAGAAAATTGGTGTTGTTGGATATACGTACATGCGTACCCCAGAAATTTCCACCACTGGTGAGTACGATGTTGCCAAAAGGCTTGGAGCACATTGGCATCATTTCACTGAGAGACTTTGCGCTCAACTCATGAGCATCATTATCTCATATGACAGCATTTTTGGATAATTTTAGTCCGAAAGATGCGAAATGTCAGGTAGGTTATGTTTAACGATGGAAATAAAAATGTGGCTTTTGGATACATATTCTCATTGTCAGTACTTGATCATAAGGGGGATAAGGGTAGCCTGGCTGGCCTTACGTTTAAGGCCAAAACAGACATCAGTTTTTGGTCAGGGGCTAGCTTCAAAAGTGGTGCGACGACGTAGCTTTTTTTTATGGCTCTCATTTTTTCCCTAGAAATGATACACGCACATATGCTTGTACATACGTACGGCGCCGCCAACACCGAAATAGATAGACTGGCCCCCTCACTGTTTACTGTTGAAAAGCGTTTCCAGCTTGTAGATGTACGCAGTGCATAAGATCGCCCCATTTGCCTGGTTCCCATATGTAAATAGGTAGTACAGAAATGTCGTCTGAAAAAGAGTGCCCGACTAACTGTATGGGGCCAAGAGGGACTCCTTTACTTTACATATAACTTAACTGTACCCCATTTAAAATACTTTAAAATCACGCAGTAGCAGGATTCCAGTCGATCTAACAGGTTTGGCAGCTGTTAGACATCGTATTGTACCAAAGAAAAACGTTTTTATTTTGCCAACGCGCAGTTCTACGGTGACGCGGGTACTGGCCAGAAACCGGTGACTTTGTTCGGCCTAAAACAAGAAAGAATTAATTCTACAAATAAGTACGGTGGCTTTCTTATCACTGTGTGTCCTTAGGCCGTATTCATGTATGTTTTTGCTTCACCAAAAGAAAGCCCACATGCAATTTTTGGATGTTGTAACTTTCGGTTTAGGATCTTTTTATCAAAATGCCCCTCCTCAACTTCCAACTTCAAGTACTGCGTCGAAAAATGTGTGTCCAAGGTTCAGAAAAGTACCCGTTTAATTTGAAGCTCTTAGATTTCTGAAGAATTGTGTCCTTATTTTTTACCGAATTTTTTATAAATGTATTATTTATATTTTTGCACTCGCTAGGCCTACATGTATTTTCAGGGAAGCTAAAATTCGCTACATGTACTTTCAGGGAAGCTAAAATTCACTGATGAAGTTAAAGCGATCCAGGTCGAGGTTGAGAGACTGCGTGCAGAGTATGGTATCAACAAAATAATCGCTGTGGGCCATTCTGGGTATGATGTGGACTTAACGATCGCTAAGAAGGTTCAAGGGCTGGATGTCGTGGTGGGAGGTCACACTAATACCTTTCTGTACACTGGTGAGTATATACACGGTACCATCATTCTTCGTTCCTTATGATGCATTTTCACTCTGGAAGAGTATATGAATTTAGCGTCAGTACCAATTTGAGGAATCGTTCTTGCTTCACCAAGCCATGATACAACCGACGACTTGTCTACTCTGTCATGTTGGGAGTTTATTAATTTGTTTTGATTAGGGTTCCTAACTTACACTTTGAAGTTGTAAAGAGGTGTTCCACCGACTGTCCAGGTTTCTTGATGAGAGTCGAACGCAGGCGAACTACTTTTATACTTACCCGGGTATGGTGTTTTATAGCCACCAAAATTACATCGCGTCGTATCGTCACACCGTCTTGTCGTGTTGTGACATCGTGTCGCCGCCCGTCGGATCGTGCTGTCGTGCCTTGCTGTTTCTAAACGGGCTGGTGATTATTACACCCAATATAGGGCTTATGTCACAAGTCCTTGAAAACACTCTGCGTGCATGGGGCCTACAAGATGTGATTATGAGACTTTATCTATTGGTGTGGCACTTAACTCCGTTTGTAAGGGTGTCCCCTATTTCTACCAGTAATGAGCTGAGTAAGAGCTCGATGTGACGGCCTGACGCGACGACCCGATGCAACAGGTCGACGGCACAACGCGATGGATCGACGGCACGACATGATGGCACGACGTAACGGCACGACGCAATGGCACATTGCGACGGCACGACGCGACGGCACAACAGCATGACGTAATGCAGTAATCACCATAAAAGTAATGAGAAAGGAGACGACGCCAAGATAAGACGGCACGACGCCCGATGGAGCCGTTGTAGCGCCGCGTCGGGGCGACGGAACGATGCGACACAGTTCTGTCTTCTATAGAACACCATACATGGGTGTGTTGTGAAAACAGTTTTTAATGTCGCAGTGTTAAGCCAGCTGAAATAATTGCAGGTACTGCGCCCTCAACAGAGCAGCCTGAAGGTGAGTACCCGACACTTGTCCACCCAGACAACGATCCTACTGCTAACGTGTTGGTAGTACAGGATTACACCCTTGCCAAATATCTCGGGCGCCTCGATGTCACGTTTGACGAGGACGGTAAAGTAACAGAATGGAGTGGTAATCCAATACTCCTGGACAAAACCGTAACACAAGGTAAGTATCTAGAATCTTCCATGGTTAAATTGGTTACTCGTTAATAGATTATCCTTTCATATTTCATTGTTTTTTCGGCTGGTTTGTCACTTGTTTACCCTCCTCAAGTTATTTGGGTTTTTCAGTTACGGTTGCAAAGCGAAGATAAGTTTAAAACAAGTGCCATTAGAAAGTGACTAAATTCCTACCAAAGAAGAATCCGCTTTGTCGCTCAAACTAATTTGTTATCAGCCATTCAAATGGAATGTTACATTTTACGTTCTACGTCAGACACCAAGGTTCTTGAGGACATAGAAGTGTGGGCAGAATCAGTGCGAAACTACTCCAACGTTTATCTCGGTAGCTCTCACGTATTCCTTAACGGGAGCTGTCGGTTGGACGAATGCAACCTTGGTAATTTCATCACTGACGCCTACGTAAGACAGGAAGTAAAGTTCCCAGATGAACTTAGGTGGAATGACGTCAGTATTGCGATCGTAAATGGCGGGAGCATCCGGACTTCATTATATCAAGGTAAAATTATTCTATTCTTTATAACGAGAGTTGCGGGCCTGCATAAAATCATTGTAGAGCGCTATGCATCCCTCGGGATTTCACGTCATATCCCACACCACAGCGGTCAACAATTGTTTTGGCATACCCCTGTCTTAAGGAATTTATCCATAGAAACAAGCTGAACAATTTCAGAAGATGATGGGTCTACTGTAAAACTGTACAGCTAAAGTACTTAAACGATATCGTTTGCAAAGGCACCACCCCTCCCGTTCGTTAATTGCGTAAACGCTTATGTGAAACTAGTGCAGGTACCAGTGAGTACATTTATATAGTCTGGTTAAAGGTCCCCGAATTGCCTTATACACTGCGGGGTCAGGAACGAGTCTGTTACACGAGCGCAATTATTGATCGAATTCCCTGATAGCCTATGCAGAAAACGTATACTGGGTACTACGCAAAAAGGACCTCAAATGTTCGTTCTGGACTTTCCTCAAGCTGGTTTGTTTCGCACGCGTACGCGTGTGCTTGCACGTACCGTTGGTAGAATGAGATGTGTCACGGTGAGTGTGACATGCGGATATGTCGCCCTGTCATGTGATGAATTGACAGCGGTCAACAATTGTTAAATATCACTCTGTTTGTAACCATGGATCGACCAATCAGAACTGAAAATTAAAGCTTGCCCGAAGATAACAACTGATAGCTATTTGTACACATTGTGAACATGCATTGTCCATGGCGCACAACAAGTGTAATCAAACTCACTCTAGAAAATTTTGGTATATATTTTTATTTCAAAGGTGATTTGACTGTCGGCGACATCCTAACAGTCTTACCATTCGGCAACACAATTGACACCATAACGATTAAAGGTGTTTATTTGCTGGAAGCTCTGGAGAATTCTGTGGCTGAATACGACCCCGTGGTGAGACCAGGAAGGTTCTTGCAGTTTTCAGGTACGAAAATTGAATTCACAAGTTTCGTGCATTTATAGCCTTGAGGGCAATGCAACGATGCCACAGGTTGATATCGGTTGACTGCCATATGTATCTCAATTTCAGCACAAATAATCCGTTTTGTTTCCGACTGTCACGTCTTCCTACAATTCCTCTTGACTTATAACAACGTTAGGGATCTTAACTGGGTTGGGTGTGGTCTGTGTAGCTATACGTTTAGCTTGATTTGGAGGAATTAAGCAAGTTAGTCCTCCTAGTAATTAGTATTACGGATCAAACTTCTCGAGTCAAATGTAATGAGTGGTGTATTTGCAAAGATACCATAATTTCATTGTCCTACAATAGTAACATCAAGTTTCTTAAAGTTGATTCGGACGAAATTATGTTTGTCAAAGGGTGAAAGTCGCATAGCCAGCTGCAGTAGGTGCTTCTAACAACATAAGCCTTTCACCAATCCTTGACAAGTCTTGTAGGAATCAGGCTTATGTTTAGCGATGATTTAATTCATTAGCTGAATAAGTTAACTTTGGTTTGATATATGTACAATTATCGAGCTGTACCGTTATTGTTTGATGTGGGACTCCTCTGTTGGGTGTTATTAAAACGTTTAGACGTCATACCAGTCGGGATTATTGCTATACTCGAACTTTTTTCTTGTTTGTTGCAGGGATGATAGTGAGTTATGACCTGTCGAAACCCCCTGGGAGGCGGGTTGTTAAGGCTGAGGTTCGTTGTACAGAATGTGAAGTGCCAGAATTCGTACCTCTTGACCCGGACAAGGTGTACAAGATTGTCCTGCCATCGTTTCTTGTCAGTGGTGGGGATGGCTACTCCATGATACGGGATAACGTCATCGAACATAACTATGGTGAGACTTTCTGGAAAGTTGTGAGCGTGGCAAATTGCACCTATGTTGCGATCTAGTTCACCACATCCGAGTCCATGTTTCTCAGTCCAAGTTAAGGCGACACCCCAATTCGTTGCTTTCCGTTTTTTTCGAGGACATGTTCAGTCGATGTATTAATCATGTAAACTGAGTGCATGTAAGAGTCTGAAAAATACACAGGAACGTTGACTCGAGTGCTGCAGCAACCCTTTAGTGACATAACTGGGGGGGGGGGGTCGACAGCTGGGGATCGATCCCAGCTTGAGGAGGTCCATGCCATCTCAAGATGTGCGCGCACCTTTAAAGGTTTACTCGTATATACGCATCAAAGAGGGCGCTGTCTACTTGTAGCAGGCTAAGTACCGTTTACTTAAGTTTGCCGGCGACCGCTACATGTCCACCGTTTAAAAGTAACAATAGTTATTACTGATTCCGCATAGCAAGAGTTTTGTGGGACTTCCTGTCATTATTCTGCATGTACCTTTATTTAACTTTTCCGACTGAGATGAAACTAGTCAAATAATGACGGCCACAGATTATATTTCATGTACCTTTCGCTGGTTATTAATTCTTTGTGGCTGAAACACGGCACATTGGGTTTACGCGCGTCAAGACATCGCGCGTGCGTAATTTCTAAAGTATCTAGTTCGTGACTTCGTCATACACGCGAACGCACCACTGATTGCAAGCTCCTATCCGCTCCAAGAGGAACAAAAGGGTACATGTTTGATTTCAAAATAATGGTCCTTTGGTCGGAACTCACCGCCTAGGAGCGCAAGTTTATGCGCGTTTGGCGCGGGCCACGCTGAGTACTCTCCACTAATATATGCTGGAACATAGTATATGCATGGCCTTGGAGTGTGCATTAAACGCGTGCAGAAACGTGATTGGAAAATTTCTCACCAGTCTGTCTTTCTTTCGCCGGCGAGGGTGGATTGGATGAACACTGAAACAGCGCGTTAACTCCTGGTTCTGTAGTTCAACTTGTAACAATACGTGCAGTGGGCGTGGTTAAAACTGTAGTGATGTCACACGAACTGCATATACATTGTAGTTCCCAATCTTGAACTCTACTCAATATGACTGACTGGTTTCAGAGAGTCCTCATGGATTAAAACCCACAAATTGTTCATATTTTAAATATTTAGGACGGAGGTGTGTTACAAAAACACATTATCATCTGGCATTATTTGATCGTTTTTATCTAAAAACAATTATCGATTCGAATATTTGGAGTGAGCTTCAAGTGCTGTTAGAAATTTTGCGAGGAATTTTTGCAACTTTAACGAGACCATGCACACGCTCCAAGATTCCTTTTCTATTTCCACATTAAATTTCATAATTGTACAAATAATTGAAACTGTTTTTCTGTGTCTAAAGTACTTAAAGTCTTTTTTCTTTCAACTAAACCTGCATTTATATTAGCTCTCGGGCAACTTCTCAACCAGAACAGTGATTATGATCAAGGAAGAAGTTTGTCGTGCTTAAACACTTGCAAATGACGCACTGTTACAAGTCCATATACTTCTTTATAGGTAACTTGGATTCCAGCGTTGTGAGTGAATACATAGAGATGATGACCCCACTGACACCTGGTCTGGAACGAAGAATCCTATTCGTCGACTCATCAGAAAATCCTTGTAAGGGAGCAGCTAGTGAGAATCGACCTCTTTTAGCTGTCCGGTTTTTGTTGGGTGCTTTTCTGATTTTCTTTTCCATCTTGTAGTTTGAAAACTAGACTTGCTTCAGGAAAACATCTGACTTGTATACTTGAACATCGCTCTCTCTCAGAATATTTAAGCAGTTAGTGTAGTGTTATTGTAAAAGAGTTTATAGTGGCGTACTACGAAGGTACATTCCCTCCCCCAGTGGAAGTCTGCGCCCCTATATGTCCCCTCTCTCCAGTCAGAAATTTCAAAATACCTGTATACATAGCTTATGTACAAGCCCCCTTTAATTTGCTAGGAGTGTCCGCTTGAAAAAAAATATATGCACTCCTTCGTGCAACCTCATAAAATTCACTGGTGATTATGGATTTTGTATTATTTATTGTGGAATGTTCAAGACAGAAGTTCAAGTTTCGTTATGTCTGTTTGTCTGTCTGTTTTCATGAGTATAGTGGGGGTATAAAGTGCCAATAAGCAATGCAACTCCAACCCCGTAAAGGCAGCAGATTAAATGTGGTGCACTTGCGACTTTATTTTAATAAACATGTAGATACGTATATTTCCAAAGGCCAATTTATAAATTAAAAACAACATTTCTCAAGTGTCAGTCTGTGCATAAACGCCGTATGATAACTAAGATTTGTGATAAAACATGACGTATATCAGGACAAGCTAATTTATGTTATTTGGCGAGCTTTGAGAAATTAGAAGCAGCCGTAATGATGTGCCAGTGCATTCGTACGCAGGTGGTATTTCTCTTGAGAAGGCACCCATGAATCCATTTCTAAGCGTTTATTATCTTCAGTGGCGTAAATTTGTGCCGGAAATCGGGGGGATGGGCGTTGGTGAAGGTGTGGGGGGATGACTTGCCTGGCCATAAAAATATGAAAGGGGTAGAGACACTATACTCTATATAGAGGGTCGATGTTTATGATATTGATGAACGTACGTCTGTAATGTGTATTCAGAATGACATATTTATGGCTCCTTTTAATTGTTTCCCTTTTGGAGTGATATTGAATGCCTTTTAGTCGTTGGAAATCTGAAAAATTCTTCACAATCCGATTTGAGATTCTGCTCACCACGAATATGGGGGAATTATTCCATAGCCCATTTCCACTATATGATGCTCAGTGCATGTGGGCTGTCACGCATGTGGCCTTGAACTTTGAATGACCGTCACAACAAAACCATATATCTGATTATGTTCAAACGTCACCTTTTTGAGGAAAAGGTAGGTGCTCGGATTCTTTGAAGACACATTTTAGAGGAGAAAAACAACCAAAAAAAGCCTTTTCTATGGTATCAAAACAAATAAGGGTCTTCAAGAACACACACACAAAAAAAGAAAAAGCGGTATCCCTTACCACTAACGTTAGTAGCTGACGACGGGGGACTTCTGTAGGACAGTGGGGCAATTTATTGTTTTTAACACTTAGGGCCAGAGGTGGAAGCAAGTCATTTTTTTCGCAAGTCCAAGTCAAGTCACAAGTCTTTAGCAAGTCGAAGTCAAGTCAAAAGTCATTAGGTCCAGTCACGAGTCAAGTCGCAAGTCAAAGCTGAAATTTACTAGTCAAGTCACAAGTCATAAAATAGCGACCGAGTCCAAGTCACATGACTCGAGTCAGCAACTCTGCTTAGGGCCTATGTCGGTAAATTGTTGGTAGTCGGATCCGAAATAAACTTCTCATAATAAAAACAATATTTTATTTAATTTCCAGTTTGAATCATTAAGGTCAGCGGATTCGAGCAACAACTAAAAAACTCGCCTTAGGAGTGTCTGACATGCATGCCAAGTTTCAAATATTGAGGGTGGCACAGCTGAGTTCTTGCCCACCCCCCCGCGCGAAATGGGCCACACCACTGCTCTTTGGGAGTTAAAATATAATGTTAAGTGAGAAATGTAAAAACTTCAGTTCGCATTATGTTCAAACAATACATGCTTCACAGCTCGTCGCAACACAGTTTCACTTTTGTGGAAAACTACCCCACAAGATCGCCAGAAATGATAAGACTTCGATGCTATAGTTCGACAAGTTTTGTACCAATGTCTCATTGCCATACCACCCCATGGGCACAGACTATCAGAATACCAGTGCTAGCTGTGCCAAAATTAGCTCAGATTTGGTGATTCCCAGTTCCAAGGGTGAGCACAGCTTTATTCAGACAATGTTCTTAGGGCTAATCTAAAGAGGAATACGTACTGCAGAGACCTGGGTATCGGACTTCAAGGAAGAAGGTTGTGGGGGTGCAGACTGGCAGCAATACGGGCGTGATTACATGGGCATCGGGCACCAATCCAATGATGCTTTGTGGAGATAATCTTGGTTACTAAGACAACTGCTGTGTCGTTCTTTCCAGTGGAATTTGCCACTGCAGTCAAATAGAGGGATCCCAATACGACGCTTTTAGCGTCGATCTGCGCACTTCCGCGTTTGAAAACGAGGCTGTATGTGTCAGCTTCAATTCTTATCACGATCAGAAATTGAAAGTAAGGAGCCAAGACACAAAATACATAAAGCTATGTTAAATTCAGACTTTTCAGGCTGAAAATGTTTGTGGAAGAGTTTTCAGGATGACTCGACACGTAAAATCCAAAGAAAAATAACGACAATTGACCGCCAGCTAATGTACCTGCGAAGGTCGTGTGTCTTGTACAGTGGGCGTGGTTTGAAGTGAAGTGGCGTCACACTTACGAACCGGAGACTCCATGTACTGTGTGGACTCCGCGGGCGCGTGCGAGGAAGTTCAACACAGAGAGCCTCGGTTTCGATGAAGATATGCGCAATGAAGATATGCGCAGACGGCGCTAATGTGAAATCCCTCCACGCTATGTATATTTTAACACAATTTAACACATATACATAGGAACGACCTTCAGAAGGAAGATACTGAACTGAACAGGGATATACCTGTAAATGTATTGTATGATGCTAAACCACCTTTTATTTTCCATCAACAAACGTCATCCTGAAATGGTTCAAAGTAGCTAATGTTACAAAAGCAAATAAGCACCTTGTTACAAAATTGTACAACTTCGGCTGATGTTACTCAGTCTGAAATGGACACACTGCACAGTAAAGAAAGAATGAATGCCTCATGTTTTAAGTTTAAAAGTCCCTCAGAAAAAAAAAAATAAAAAGTATAGAACCAAAACAGCTTTCTTTTAGAATTTGAATTAAGTGCATTCACTCGCAAGATAAGTCGTTTATACCTTCATTGGACAGGGCAAAACAGTCGCGTTACGTAATCAAGTTGAAAATATCTCCGCAACGCAACGTGAGCTTCAGATGAAATTTACGGTATATACGTAGAAAGTACTGTAAGCTTTAACTGACACCTTATCAACAATTTTGACCATTGCTATTGGAGAAAATGAATGTGATGTTGACTGTGAACCTCATCCAAGAACTCCCGACCAAGGCCAACTGGCACGCAGCCTCCTTCAATCTCGGACTGAACAATGGCTTGAATACCGTTTGTTATCAGTTACATAATACTGATATAACGCTGATGCAATGCACATGAAATGGACAATTCCTGCAGCATTACAATGAACGACAGATTAAGTTGAATCAGTCTCGTATATATATTTTTGTGTTAGAAATGGTTAACTGTTATGATTCAATCCTACGTAATGTGCTGTAATAATTTAACCGGCATGCAGAATGAGATACACGACATCGAATTTTCTCATTGAATGCATTCGAGTGTTTTTTCTTATTTTGCTGTTGCTCTCCTGAGCTGTTCTTGGTATGGCGTAGAGGCAACGTACTAATTAATGCGTAGCAGGGAAAACAAGGGCGTAACCTGTTTTCCAGGAAAAAAGTATCTTGATCAATACGCAACTCAAACTCTGCTTAGGTGAAATAAAACGGTTTGCAGATTTCCTCTCTACATTGGTACAACCTTGTAATGCCAGTTCTAGTAGGGTTATTTTCCGAATTTCAAAATCGCGTGAACCATGCTTTGGGTTAAATGTAATGTCAAGGTTCAGGTACATTTGAAAAACTAAACTCCGGAACAGTAAAGACAAAATTAAGTCAATACACTGGCCAATATCTTCCAAACAGGTTCGCATATTTATGTGAAACCCGGTACCAATGCACCAATGTGCATGATTTTCTGACGTATAGCTATAACGTTATCAGGTATGAAACACAAAGAAGGCCGTGGCCAAAACACTTGCATGTGAATTGAAATAACAACCGAGACTATAGTGGCTGTATCTACGTATATACTACCTACAGGACAGGAAATTTCAACTTGGACACGGCATGATGGGTTGTATGAAGAAAACTTGCATTCACCAACAGCTTTGAGCCTTTACTCGTATTTGTATAAATAACTACAAGGCAAATGATTTTACTAGAATGCATTTACTGAAAGTAAAATTATTTACCTTTTTTTATTTTTTAAGCTTTTGCAAGACGATCATCATTTTTCTTCTTTGTATGAATGAAAAGGAGTAAATGCTTCCAAACTAGACTATTTGCTAGTACGTTTTGAGGACTTGATTAAGGCAACCTTTAGAAGGAGAAGCAAAGTACTAATGTACAAAATGGCAGCGTTCATGAACGTCATTCGAAAGGAAAAGGTACATGTTGTGGCTACCGTGGGCATTAATCAAACAAATATGTCNTTATACACGTATATTTTATACAATGCCTTTAATTCTCATTTAAATCAGTTCACCTTGTCTATGGAGTTCGATATATAACAGAGGATTGCAGACGTTTACACCGTCACAAACTTGGCAAAGTTCACAATGTTCACGAAGTGGATCGATCGGAATCCTGCAAATAACTCACATTCACAGCAACCTGGATCGTACAAATAGTTGCCACAGTCTGACATTATCAACAAGTCCAATGTATGTTCGCAACTCCTTCCAATTTTGATGAGAATTGAGGCAAAAACGACAAGAAATACAACGGTAAAAAACGAATATCAACTCCCACGAAGCGCCAAAAACTCGAGCCCTAATCGCCCATAATCCTTTGCGTGGCCATGCCTAATGCAAATGTCATGCACATTTCATGCAAATTAGTGTGGGCAAGGTAAACAATCAAAGGTGGGGCGGAAGGTCCAAGGTAAACTAGTGTAAGCCTGGAACATATAAGGAAGAGATCTTGGAAACTACACATGTCTTTTGGAGGGAGTGCCCATTCTGATACTCAGTCACAGCTGCAAGCACTAGCTTACAAGAACGTTTTTGTCTGGTAAAAGACTACATGCACTCACAGAACTACCTGCCTGTATCGATCCGTCAGCAGACTATTCACGTTGCATCTTCAGTTTGTCTTCGCGACAAAATCTGTCCCGGCAGAGGTCTGAAAATCCATCATTTCAAACCCGAAATAACGTTTATGGTGCCACTGCAGCCTACTTTCGAGATCGCAAGCCTTCAGTACAAGGGTCGACGTTGATCGTACGCTCTTTCCAACCGATTATGTGTGGACGCCAAAAAGTGTGTTTATTATTTTTAAAAAACCATTATCGCACAGTCCAATTTAGTCAACTCATGACAAGTCACAAATCACGTTCCCTCATGTCAAGTCCGAAGTCATTTTTTCCAAGTCAAGTCTCAGGTAAAAATCGAATAACAAAAAACAGTTACTCAAGTCCGAGTCAGCAACTCAAGTTAACTCTAAAAATCAATCTTGGTGATACCCAAAATAAAGGCTATTCGGGAACAAGTTTTGTGCACATGCACATGTAACTCTTCTTTCCTAGACTTCTCAATTTGTTGATCATGAACATGGTAAAAATGGTAAAAATCTAAACTCGCAGCCATTCGTAACCATTTTCCGAGACTGGCCATCGTTTCTTTATACGATATTAAATGTGAGGTTTACGGGTCAATTGTCATAACCACACACGTCTACAATACGTCCGGAGGGAATCAAGCGTGACCATTTATTCATAGTGCAAGGACACAGACTGAGCTATTGTCATGCGGTTTCAGGCGTGATCCCGCATTCTGAAAGGTCCCGTGCGAATACAGGAGTGGGGGGGCGGTTAAGAAAATGGGCACGTTCCTCGGAACGGGAAAATCGGAACGGGAAAATTGGAAATACTTTTGATCTTTGCCTACATGCATGGTTCCATGAATTGTTTGGCATGCATATGGGATTATCCACTACGAACACGGGCGAGGGTTCCCCTTGTTTTCTCTGTTTTCTCCGAATGACGCAATCTTCATTCAGAATTTGCATGAACAGAAAAAACCCTTTTTACCTTGGTATATCATAGAAGGACACAGAAGAAGTTTGAACTGCTGGGCTATAATATCTGGCCAATTACCGCTTTTTGGCGTGCCCGGTATGTCCCGGTATAGCCAGAGCGCAGCGAGCGCTTGCTAGGCACCATCTGTTTCACAACCACAGGACCCCTTTGTACCCTATGAATGCCGCTGCAATTTTTTCGCTGGTAATCTGCATCCTTAAAACTTCGCGTACTGAGGAAACTGAATATTCATGTCTTTGTTGGTGCTTGGTATGATCTCATAGCAACATCAGATTGTTTGCGCAGTTGTTTTTAGTACGCCGTGTGCCCTAAATGTACATGAGCAGTCATTGCCCATAATGAACGCTTTCTTCCAGAGTTATTTTGGGAATAACTAGCCACCTTATTTACACTATTTTGTGCTTTGTTTGAATAGTTTTTATGGCATTTGCACGAAAGCATATTTTAAGAGATTCCATGATCACTCCCTGTAATGAAATAGTGAATTTTGTTCCTTATGAACTTAGCTTTCCAGCAGTAGTCAACAGCAGTTTGTTGGCCAATCTTAGCCAAATTTGTACCAAGTCTTTGAAAACTGATATATTGGAGGGAAGAGAATAAATTTGCAAACTTTGCATGGACAATGGAACAGTGTATCAGCATTGGAAAAGTTTATTCACGATGGCAAAAGTAGGTCTAATGTCAGGGATTTTTCTCTCTGTGTTTCCTGATCAAAGCAATAATTTGCATTCAATTACTAACAAAACACTACACGTATTGCTAAGATATTGTGGCGGTTTCCCCTCCGTAGTCCGCGAACCCTTGGCTCGCCGGCCACTCAGCCAGGTCGTGGCGCCGCTCGCGCGTGATTTGGCCAGGGCCTGGATCTGTTTGGGTGGAAATATACCGCCCGTTACACCAAGGACAAGGGACTCTGAACGAAATGGCCCACCCGGCAAAGATATGTGTGATACCGTCTACCTCTAGCGGGTTTATTCACTTCCACTCACTTCCTCAATGCGTGAGGTACCCGAACAAACTAATGTTAAACGTTTACAAATGGCAAGGAGGGGGCATGAGGGCCCATCGCGCACCCCTTTGCCCTGCCCAGATGCACTGTCACAAAATTAAGTAAACGTACAGTACCGGTTCATGTACTCACATAAATTAATTACAAACGTCCCGTCAGTACCCAATCCGTATGCACAATCCAAGAAGAACAAACAGTTTGGTCACAATCGTCCACACATTAACTAAATCCCGGTGCCAAAGTTGTGTTAGTCGATCCAATCTGAACTCCTCGGCAGCTCAACTTAGACTGACTAATTTTCCCCATTCTGACATTATTTAATTCCCTCCCCTGTTTCCCACAGTCTTGAAAACACCATCTTAGCACAAAGATGCAAAAATGGTCCACAATACCCATTTGAACCTTTCTTCAATTTACTAATTTTTTATCATATTCCGGATATTGTCAAACTCCCCCCCCCTTTTTTCCATCATGGCAGTCTTATTAGTTCAGTTTCCCACTTTCTACAACATAATTTACTCACGAGAAACACGTTGTCAATCTCCTGACAGTTACCCCGATACCCCCTTTGTTCCATATGCCCTGATTTGACACACTTGACGGCCCCCGGTTTCCAAACTCCCGGACCTAACCCGAAACCTAATTAAGCGCATCACCGGTCAACCCCACTGCCATTCCTCTAGAGTTTAAAGGGTCACCGGACATTCGCGTTACAATATTATTGGCCCCGCTTGTCCGTCTTATCTGAAGGCAATAATCTGGCACATTTGGAATGCTTTCTATTATTCGTCTGTCTCGGCGGCAACAATAATTGAACACTTTGAAGTGCCAGAGTTGCAACTCCTTCTGTGTCCTTCCTCCATGGTATATTTGAGCTCTGAAGATAAATGACACTCTGTTAGGCTTGGATGCTTCCGTAATTTTATTTGAACAGATAAACTCAAAGAAACCATGTTTTCCTTAGAGGTGCTCTTTAATGACTTTATTGTGGAGGACAAAAGAGATCTTGTCATTGTAATAGCTTTCACCCAATTATTCCGTAAACCATTGGATAAGTATAATTTTTCTAAGTTTGCTTTTGAAGCATGTTGTAAGGTCAAAATGTCAGCCACGGAATGATCAATACTCGTCACTGTCTTGCGACCAGAATGTGTGGTATAGGGCCATTTCATTGTTACTCCGCCATTCTCATACCATTCCTCCACAACATTACGAATGAACACCGCTTAATGAAAAGCCGTTGTTTATAATGGCTTATATACAAATTATTCAGGATGATTAGAACTTCAGTAACATTAGAGTCAGCGGTGTATCCAGCTTTTGGTGCCTTGGGGGACGTATTTAAAAGCGAATGCAGCTTTGGGTTTATTCAATGATGATTTTGGGAAAAACAAATATCAAAAGCACGGTCCCGACATTGTTGCTTTTATTCATGGTGTTATTGCAATTGTACCTAGTCGCATTTGAAAGAATCGTATAGGCCTAGTGGACGAAGTCAAGCAGGTCATGGTTCAGGAACAATTGTGTCCATGGAGTAATACATCTAGACCTTATACCTTTCACACTGCATTCTGAACACGCTGCGCGCAAGGGATTGTTGGTGGTGAAAGCCAAAAAAATCAACGAAGTTGTAGTTAGTGCGTGACCTGCAGGGGAAAAAAAACTGTAGTGTATTCCATAAATGTAAGTATATCCTCCTTTTTTCAATACATCATGTTTTTCAGGATGAAGTGGCGGTGTGGGGTACGGTACCGTGACAACGGTACCATTCATTTTTAATTCCCAACTTTATGGTCTTTTTCATTGTTCGAGGACTCAGAAATAAATGGTGGACAAGACAATTGAACATATACATTATTTTGATAAACTGTTTAAGGAGTTTTTTACAAGAATTAAAACACAGTTGCTTCCACAGGTACGTGCGTGAAGTTTGCCTCAGTATGGTATATGTACATGTGGCTAAGCAAAGACATGATTGGAGATTGTGCGGTCGACCGCATGTGGTTAAAGTTCTAACTATCCGGTGTTTACGGTGTTATTTTGACCGGTCGAGTGGTCGGTCTGGGCCAAGGAGAATACAATATTTAAGCCTGTCACAAACATAATAGTATGCTTTACAGACGCGGATCCGGGTGATCAAACCCCCCCCCCCGCTCTGAGAAAAAAAGGAAAAATTGGGAAAATATACGGAATAACGAGAGTAAGTGCAACAATATCATTGTATAGCATGTATCATGTTTCATCATCTTTTCCGCTTGTCCACAACAAATCTTAGGCCTGAACCCCACCTCTGGAAAAATTTCTGGACCAGCCCTTGCTTTATAGAGGTCACTCGTGGTAAACTGTTTACGTGTATGTTCCATCAGCATTCATGTTTTGATTTGCCAGTAAGGGAAGAAAAGGATTTAATGTGTATTGCTAAAGTTGAATCGCATGGGGATATTGTTCGCATGTCATGACACTAGACTGTTTCAAATTTTGTTGGAACCCGTTCACCGGCGTTGTCGAGAATTCTTATGGTTTGGGTAATTTAGCTCAATATCACAATATGCACATATTGATAAAATTAATCAGCAGATATGTAGCAGTCATCAAAATGGACAAACGTTTGTGTGCCAATGTGCATTCTTAAGTGAAGAAACTTGAAAACTTTTGCCTGGCTCGTGGCTTCTCCCTCTTCGCTAGTGAGAGTTTCCATGCCCTCAGCTCCTACCATCAACAAATTCATGTTACAGTAGCAATTTCATATACATGTACTCACCCCTGACGTGAAGTACATTGCATGCATTTGCATAATTTCTGCTGACTCACTCACTTCTTATTAACAATGCATATCTTATATCCACGATGAGTAAATTGTTCAAACTCTCAAAAACTAGATATCCAGGTGGTTAATACGGGACCATTATCAATTGCCCCTGTAACGTAAACATTTTTGTGCACGTTTAAATATCGGGTAAGAACAGATAGCTAAATCGACGTGTCGTCATCCTGTGATGATAAATTGAGTCCATAGCTTTGTCGATTATCTCGATAAAGTTAAAATATACCGATCTAGTGAGCATAACACCAAGAGCTGCTGGGAGAACTTTAAAACTAGCAATGCCGATTCTTGATTCTTTGTAAGTTTATTCATCGTTTTTGTGTTAATGACACCCGAGAAGGGGTTGATTTATTGGACGCTTTCTGCTTAGAAATAACGAGAACCTCCTGAAGTGGACAGAGTGGATAGGTCGACCCGAAATTGTTGACGTGTCAAATGAATTCACTGATGATACATAAACTAATAACATGGAGAAGTTGCGAAAGCCTCAGGGAATACACAATGAATATCTAAGAAATCAGAATTACACCACCCACCCCCATTCCTTGCTGTCCATGGCTTTCCGGTACATTTCGAATTCAGCCCGCAGCTGCCTCAAGGGTACTTTCAAGATTTATGTCAAGGATCAAAATATATTTAAGCAGACAGCAAAAAAAATCAGACACTGGTCATACTTTTTAATTAGTTTTTCTGCTTGTACTGGTAAGTCTGTTTAAGTCTTACAAACAAAACAGCCAGTGCTTGTTTTCAACTGAAGTGTTTGCTATTTGGTATCTTGAAAAGGGGTCGATTGGACACTATGGACGCAAGGAGCAATCACCTTAGACGATCATCTCAGCTGTCCGATTCAGTAATTAAAGATGACAAAATGGCGGGAACTATCGAGTTGAAGAGGGAGATTGGTTTGATCCGAGCAATAGCAATCATTGTGGGATCTTCATCTCACCAAAGGGAATTCTGCAAGGAGCCAATAGTGTAAGAATGAGTCTCATCATCTTGCTTGTTTGTGCTGGAGTTTCATTTTTGGGTGAGATACTTATATACTGTGATTCTCTGCTTTTCTATTTATACAAGGTCAATAACAGCTATACCAACCTTTCCAAACTGCTCCGTATCCTGCATTTGCCCCTTACTCTTTAATTGTAGGAATGAGATAAACAATCATTGTGGCTGTATTTCCATTGCTGTTTCAAGAAAATGCAATGGGTCCCAAGTGATCGGTTTGGCATTGTTCGTGATATTTTGAAGAATTCACAAATTAGCTCAAACTTGGTGCAAACAATAGAAAAGGACTGATATGTTTGCTGCCACCCAGCGTCTCAAGAGTCTCCTTTTACACTTCATCCCACTACACTTAGCCATGCTCCAACATTCGTAGCGGGGATCAACGGAGTACCAGTGTATTAACTAATGGGTCTTCAGCCATAATTAAGGTCGGCCAGCAAAACCTTTCAGCACATTGTCATTGAATAACCTGGTTAAGATTTCTCTTTTCTTGTGATAACTAAATGCACCGTTATTTTAACACTATTTGGCATATCGCCCCAATTTAAGGTGCCTTGTGCTATGTCGAGCTAGGAATCGTCATTCCTAAAGCTGGTGGCACTTACCAGTACATTCTACACGCCTATGGTGACTTCGCCGGATTTCTGGTGTCCTGGGCCACCGTAGTTATTATCAGGCCAGCTGGCGCTGCGCAGATTGCCATCACGCTCGGTACTTACATCTCTGATTACGCCATTCCTGGTGACTGTGCCCCTCCGAAAGAAAGCATCCAACTCTTCTCTATTATGGCAGTCAGTGAGTTCAAAATCTGCTTTTACAAATGAAACGAACACAAAACCCTGCTTTTTCAAACATTGCTACATCGGTTGCTTTTATAATTTAGTTTTTGTACCAACCACACTGGGTTATTTTAGTCTCTACACTTCTACCTCTGCAGCAATGGAGTCAAGACAGTCATTGTTCAAAACAGCTTACTAATTATGGAGGACGAAAAGTGGCCAGCTGCGTTTCTGCTATCAGAATAGTAGAAAGCAGATTTTACGTCTTTGTAACGTGCAATTGTTGTCTTTCCTTCTTTTCTGCTACCTCAACAGCAGAATGATCATTTTATTGCAATGCACTTTTCACTTTTCTGCTACTACAAAAGCAGTTTTACTTTTCCTCTTTTCGATGGCGGCCGAAAAGTAGCCATCTGCTTTTCTGTCCTTAATGGGCCGTGGATGGGGTCATGAACCGGTAGGTTACGACCATTTCCGTTATGGGGGAGTGAAGACATATAGAAACCAATACATAAAGCATGCTTTCTGCGGACCTATAAGGCAAAGAAAAAAGCATCTCAGAGGAAATACAGTTTACAGCTACCATTCAATAGACACAAGCTTGCGTGGGCCAAGGAAAACATGTGAATCTTTCATTACAAAAGATAGGGTGGAGTGTAATTCTCTTGATTTATACGTCTTCAAGGAAAGGAAATGGTCATAACCTGAGGGTCATGGCCCTTGGAAGGCAGAAAGCAGATGGCCACTTTTTGGCCGCCTATGCAAAAATGCTTCTCCCTTATAAAAAAAGCAAAAAAAGTATAATTCACGGTTATTGTCAAAACGTTCGATCCTCATTTCTGCTTGTTCAAAAGGAAAAAAGCAGATGGCCGCTTTTCGGCCGCCAGCGAACGAAGAAAAGGTAAAATCTGCTTTTCTTGAATCAAAAAAGCAGAAAAATAGAAAGATGCATAACCAAACAATGTTTGTTCGTTCTGCTTTTTGAGATGGCAGAAAAGTCGAACTTGCATGTTACCAGAACATAAAATCTGCTTTTCTACCATTCTGATAGCAGATAAGCAGATGGCCACTTTTCGTCCTCCATAAACTAACGCTGAAAATTTTTTTATGGTTAGATCGTCACCAACATGATTCCCCTATGGACGGATGAGCATGCTTACAGTATTACGGTGGTGTATTTAGTTCTTGGGTCAGGGAGTTAAATGGATTCTTTTTCCCCAGAAAGATTCTCCATATTGTCATCCGTAAAACAACTCTCCTTCACGCCTCCCTAGAATGGAACGTATAGTAACACTTTCCTTCAAAATGGGGAGCGGGAGTGTCTCCCACAGTTGATATGATACTGGAGCATTATTGTTTCATGTTTCTCAACAGTGATCGTGATGTTTGTCAATTGCATCAGCGTTCGGTTTTCCTCGGGATTCGTCGTTATTCTCACCATTTCTAAAGTGACAGCTCTGGTAGTCATTATTGTCGCAGGCATCGTGAAATTATTTCAAGGTGAAGTCATATGTTAATAGGCCTAACTAGAATAAATCACACATGGCAATAGTAACCAATGCTGAAAAGATGCTTCTTTGTTACACTCGTATTGGCTGAAAACAAACGGCAAACGCATAGAAAGGTTGTTTTTTTTTCCCAAAAAAGTATTAAGCAACAGGCTGGAAAAAACAAAACTGCTACAAAGAATAAATTTATAGGTAAGTAAAATATCGGGAAAGAACGCAGTTTCGCCTGTTCTTATTAATTTTTAGCTGTTCTAAGTGAAAGCAAGTTATATTTGAAATGTAAAAAATTTTAATACTCAGTCTTCTTAATTTTGCACACCTTAATGTTCTCTTGCCAGGGCATACACGTTACCTGAACACAGAGGTGTCATTTGTAGGATCTACCACGCATGTCTTGAGCTATGGTACGGCCCTGTATTATGGTTTCTGGGCCTACAGTGGTTGGTAGGTATTAGACAACATCGCTTCCGAAATGATTTTATTGACCTGTTTTTTATCCCTCTCATAGTATAATGCAAAACAATTTTAAATATGACACACCAGGCATCTGTCCTCTCGACGGGGACAAAGACAGATGTCCAGCATAAATTTACACCACTACTATTGCGGCATGGTGGGCACTTGAATGAGCACCTTTGGTAAAGGTGCAGTGGCATAACTAGGGCTAAATTTCCGGGGGTGCTTGGGATGCACACATTTTATTGAAGGGGCAAGAACATAAACTGCAGTTGCATTTTAACAGAGACTATTTCCTGACTTCAAATGCGTGGGGGGGGGGGCACCCGGGGGCATTGCCATTCGGCAGAGGTATGTGGCCCCAGTGCCTCACCCTCCCCTTGACGGCAGCGCCACTTTGGCGCGGTGTTCTTGTTGGAGCTTACACTTCGTCCTTGGATAAAAAGCCATCAATGAAATTTGTTTCTGGGATCCAATTAAGCTTTTGTGAGGCTTTTTCCTTATCTTATCAGTCGATCAAAGTGAACTGTTCCTCTTTCTTTTTCACAAGGGACAACATCAACAATGTGTCAGAGGAGTTAAAGAATCCAGCAAGGTTGGTTAAATATTTTTAGTGGCTTTGTATGAACAATGTCTCTGTCAAGTATCTTCTTTTAACTTAATCGGAGATTTTTGATGGTAATTAAAACGCATTATTCATGCTAAACTTTCAGCAAATTATTGTATTACATGCTCATTTTTCAATAATAAGTCTATTTACACCTATATTTAATTTTACTCTTAACTGACGAATTGTTTCATTCTGTCGTAGACACAGGTTTTGCATAGGCGTCCATCTTCTCTTTCTGTTGCCGCCCCTGGTCAAACAAAATATCCAAGACCATGCCATGTGGTTTGTGTCACAGATCTTGGAATAACTGTGGAAGGTCTTGGAACTAAGACTAGGCTGGGGCTTGAAAAATCACACATCGTGCAACTTGTGATAGCGCAGAGCCGGTTCCATACATGGGGAACGTATCTGAGTTACATGCGCCAACTTCGGACGAATGACCAGTTTATACAGGGTTCATGACCATTTACGTTATGTTGGCACATGTTAAATTGGTTAGAATGTGTTGGGGGTGAAATGGTGAACTGAGCAGCTCCATTTCTACTGAAGTACTTCAGTGTATAACATGGCATATCAACATTAGCCTTTCCTAACCAAATCCTACTGTCTGGCTTCTTGTGCCGACCCTGTTTTTACATAATGACAGAGGATGACAGGCGCTTTAACCAGGTGGCTCCGGGCAAGTGGAGCTCGTTACACCTAGGTCAGTCCACCTAGGAAGACAACTTTGATTTTAAACCCGGGTAGGTAGAGCCTGTTAGCCTTGGTTGGCAGACTGCCTAGGGGAAGGACCACTCTGATTACAAACCTGGGCAGGTAGAGCTCGTTATCCTTTGTTGGCAGTCACCCTGCGCGTAACCAAACGCGGACAAGGGCGAATGAGGGGCCTTGCCCCCAACAGCCAGGGTAGGTGTGAGAGGAGTGGCGCCCCAAGGCCTTACTAGCGTTGAAAGGAAATCCAATGGCGAATCTTACAACAAATCCTATACTGCCAGTCCCGGGAGTGGAAAAGGAGCTGCGCTGCGGATAGTGGCGCTGGCCAGGGTTCAACTCAGCAGTATGACAGTGGCCCACAAACCCTTCAGGGAGGGGGTCACCTGACGACAGCATCACCTGACGACAGCAGCAAGAGGCAGTTCATTATGGCAACCTTCAACGCAAACACTGTGAGGGATGAGGCGAGGCTTAGAGAGATGGCCCATTATGCAGTGAAGTGTGGCGTGGAGACCACGATAGAGCTGCCTGATTGCATAAGGATAAGGAAGGTTGGAATCGCCGTAGGAGGTCCCACCTGCAGGCGAAATAGAGAATAAGTACACGTGATCCAGCCATACCTTAAGTGCCGCGGAATGGTCGACGATTCCATTTGCATATGGGTAAAGTTACGTGTACTTAGACAACAGCGAATCGGTTGTTCTGATTGGATTATTAAATCAATGGAAATGTACTTTGAATGAAAAAATAGGGCAGAAGGAAGCAGTGCTGAGTTGTACCATGGTTGTTCATACATGTTGCAGGTTTATTCCAACCGTGACTAGTCTACAAAGAAGCAAAAATAATTCAAAATAACCACTGCGGATAACCTTAAAGCCCACTAAAGACTATGAGCCAGTCTGTTATGCCGTTTGTGTAGCACTGGCGTGATGCAGCAGCAACAGATTTTTGATGTATTTTATGAAACTTTATGTTTTTAAATATTTTTGGAAGCCGGTTCTAACTCGGAATTGCTATTCTTGGCTGAGGCCGGAACCGGCTCTGAAAATTCTGGAGCAGCCCAAGCCTGACTTGTACCAAATTGACTTGGGACTTGACTTGACCTGTGATCAAATAATTTATGCATAACTGGACCCAACTACTTGTGACTTAGCTTAGACTTGAAAGTATTGACTTGACTTCGACTTGCAGAACTTGACTTGGTACCACTTCTGGTTTTATAATAAACAAAATGCCAATATTTAGAACATGAAAATGGTATATTATCGAGTTCTGTGAAGTGGGTGCCATGCTATACTACCTGAGGGTCAAGTCGATGACGCTTTGAATTGAGCGACTCAAGGCTATAGATTTTGGCATTACAAGTATATTAAAATGATCTCTGAACATTGATCCTGTCCAACGGAAAACCATCAGACTAAAAAAAGACCAAAAATCCTCTGGTATTCGACCACGCACACCCACAACCCGAAACGTTTTCCTTCACACCATAAAGCAAGCTAGCTTCGCCGAACTTCTTTTTTCCCATCGTTTGAAATGTGCCCACGACTTCACGCGGTGATGATGAAGCTGTTACATAATTTTGGTGCCTAAAATAATTAGCGGTATACTTCGAAGAGAGGTGTTTTGCTGTAGAAGCACCGTTTACTAACATGTGGGTTGTAGGGTTTTAATACAGCACACGCACGTGAACAGCAGGTTTCATATGATTTGCCTCACTGCTCTGGCTCATATTTAAACTACGTTTTTTCGAACTGTACTATCCTTTCGGATATGTGTGTTCGAAACGAAACAGCTTTTTGGCAAAAGAGCAGCCTGGTATAATGCACAAATATTTGCATCATTTACTTTATGTTAGCGCTCTAATCGTATAACATCAGATGTTGATCTTCAGTCACTTTACAGGTTGATTAATCGCCGTTTTGATTTATCTTGCGATGTTTTTTTTTCTCTGTAGAAATCTACCTTTGTCAATGTGCATTGCCATACCGACTGTGACTATCATTTATCTCCTGACTAACATCGCCTATTTCACTGTCCTCTCACCGACTGAGCTACTTGCATCCAGTGCTGTCGCAGTGGTAGTGTATCATTTTTAACGGTCGCATTTATGCAAGTAACAAAGTAGCATGAATGCAGAAATTTTGCGCGATATTATCATGAAAAACGATAGTGAAAAAATTAACCTGTTCTTTTATGAACGCACAACTATTGGGCAATGTAACCATCTATAATTTTCTTGTCAACACCTACGCCAGTACATGTATTTGAGCTGATGGGTTCACGCTTTCTTGGCTGTTTCTCCAGACCTTTGCCGAACGTCATGGCATGGCTTGTCCCACTGGGAGTGTGTATCTCCACCACGGGCACGCTCATGGGTAGTTTCTTAACCAGTCCAAGGTACAAAATCCAATGCACATTATTATGTCATGACATCTTAAGTTTGTTGCGTGAAACTGGAAACTATGTTGTTGTTAACTTATTAGGGTTCTTATGGAAAATTATGATCAATGAGTCGATGAAGTACGAACGTAGGGCTGACAGCTTTTGCGCCTACCAAGAACAACAACCAACAATTTTCAAGATTCAAGAGTAAATTTTCTTGTGTTTTGACTGCTTATTCCACGATTAGGATAACGTTTGCTGCAGGCAGAGAGGGCCATATGCTGTCCATCTTGTCCATGGTTAATGTGAAGTTCCATACTCCACTCCCTGCCATTCTCCTACAGGTATGTTCAGTACCCTAACTTTTTACCGTCACAAAATTTTCTACATGACTTTTGACAACCAGTCGTTTAACGATGAAATAAATATAACTGTCATTATTTGGAGGGGGTTGATGATACTGTAAAGCGTTTTGAGGGGAAGTGGGTACTTTTTTTCAAGATGTGTTTCGAGGGGAAGTGGGTAATTGTCATCGAAGAAAAGGCAAAAAATAGAAGTGTAGCAAAAGAAAGACTAGAAGAGGGGCAAAGAAAGGGGTCAAAACCGCCTGCTCCACTTTTGATGGTTTGTCACTCTACTTGGGTGCTTCCCCCATAAATTGCTATTATGACGACGCTCATGGGTACATCAGATAGTTTATAATTAGAAGGAGTCAAAAAATAGTTTCTTGGATCTTGTATGTAATCGATAGTCTATTAACTTGCATGCTAACTCTTCCAGGGACTCATAGTGTTTGTACTGATAATTATCGGTGACTTCAATTCGATCATCATGTATGGAAGCATCGTTCAATGGATTCTCTTCATGGCCGCATTTGCTGCAGTGTTTATTCTGCGACGAAGGTATCCAAATATACCAAGACCCTACAAGGTATGTCTGGTAACTCATCAGTGTGACACAGATCTTTCCACCTCAATGAGCATTGTCGTTAGAACATCTTTCAATTGCTTGAAGGCACAGTCTATCATTTTTCTTTTGTACACTTTGTACTTTTGAGTTAACAAAATCACTCCAATCTAAAGAAGGGTGCCTAGGAAACAAACCTTATGAAGTTATGAGAGGTTCTCAAGTTCATTCGAATGCAGCTACGCCATGCACCAGACCAGACCGATAAGTATAGTAACCGCGTGCTTAGATATGTCGTGTCAACGCTTACTCCCGCATCTAATGGCAATATTCCAAAACGTGTCTTTAGACACATCGTTGGCAACGATATACTTCCGTTGTTTTCTTCAAAATGATAGCTTGCTAGACAGAATAATTTCACAGGAAGTTTAATCCATAACCATCTTTAAAGCGAGTAGGCTTTTCAACAGTAATTTCGTCAGCTACTTCTCAGGTAACTACGAATGGTGGAACTATAGCCTTAAATAGTTCTGCCTTGCAATCACACCGTACTAGAGCTCAGTAAGCTATGAATAGCGACTTTGGAAACAAAGTTGTACCGAACCGAATTCCAAGAATGCGATGTTAACGTTTCAAACGAGAACCTCGATGCAATCTTGCCCTCTTCTTCAAAGCCGAAACCTCTTGGTCGCAGAATGCGCACACTGATGTCTCCTTCGTACGTTCATTTTGCCCATTTTCTAGTTATTAAGAACACATAACACTTCAACAGAATTGCTCACCAGAAACAAATGCATCAAAAGCAGAACATCAGTTTGTCTTTAAGAGACACATCACCACCTCAAAAAGGCATTTTATTGGAAAATGTCAGAGCCAGCGTCACGCAGCGTATCTTCTGTGACTGTCTGCGTCTTGGCATCTTCAGTGCTGTCTCCATAATGACATGCCAATCAAACGTCTCGTTCCTTTAAATCTATTCTGTCATGCAGGTCAACAGTTTAGTTCCTGTGCTTGCAATCATTGCTTCCATCTTCATTATTTTGGCACCAGTCATATCGGATCCTAAGCTTGAGTACCTGTACGCATTCGTATTACTCGTGACAGGCATCTTGGTCTATGTCGTGTTCGTTCGAGGAAAACAACAGCTTCCGTACACAGGTAGGTTTAGTCTTTCTCAACACGGTTATTTGTTTAATGGAACGTTTCAAGTATGCTGTTATAGGTTCGGTTGGGTAACGCTTTTCCATGTTTTGCTGCTACAGAACAAATGACGACGTTCTGCCAGAAGTTGCTTTTCGTCGGCCCATCCCGGAAGTAGGACTCGGTTGGATTGGCCAATACCAAAGTTAATTGTGGTTGGAACATGTGCGTGCAGGTACTCGCCGGATGGGGTTGAACATTTCCCTTCCACAATCTGGTGGGTATACGGAAGAGGAACTGCCAAGGATGTGGGAAATTGATCTTCTATACACTTATTATTTTGATGCATCGATTAAGGTATATTATGGACACCCGTGATAGTTATAGGCTCTAAGCAATGTCATTTGAGCTATTTTTCTCCTCTGTCAGTGTTGCTGTGTATAGTGCTTCATGTATGTATGTATAGCTGGAAACAAATTTTGTTCCTTTAGCAGCTCTCGATTAGATAATATTTCAAGAATTTTGTTTCTAGTGGATAAAGGTATAGAATTATGCAATATTTTGTTTTGACATTTAAGCGCATTTTTATTTGGTTCATATTCGAGATTCATATTTGATTTGTTTATTTTTTTACATCTTACATTTTCATATTTGATTTTAATTGTCATATAAAGAGGAAACTCATCTTAGGATTTGTCAATTCAATAACATGCAGGATGATGAGATCATTATTTTCACGCTCCACTAAATAATGTTTTGCCCTAAAAGTGGTTTTCATCCGCTTTCATGGAACTCCAGCAAACAAAATTTAAATGTTAAAAAGTTACTGTTTTTCAAGTGCCATAACAGGGCGCCCTTTCATGTTATGATGTCAGCAATCCTTGGTTGGTTCTCAGCGTACAACTCAAAACAATGCAGACCTGTAGGCTGGGGTGGGGGAAAGGGGGTTCGAACCCCCTTATATGAATATATAATTTCAATATATCACAATTTTCGGGATATAAGCCGGGGTTTATACATTGATTCTCACGCTCAAAATGTCTTTGCGGTTTATAATGAACTCCGGGCGGCTTATACAGCAACATTTGAAGAATGAAATCTGTCACTGAACGCCGCCACGTGCCTCAGCGCAGGCTAAGCCGGGCCACCGCCGCGGCCAGTTAGCAACGCGTTTTGTGGCGGGGAACAAGGCAGTCATGTTTTCATTAGTTGCCGTTTACATTACCTCTACTAACGTGTTGGATATGAAGGAAACCATTCCAGAAAGACAGGATAGACTTAATAAATGCCCTCTAAGTACTGTAATGCTGGGGGGCCAAGCCACGTTCTGGCTCATGATCTGTGTTTTCTTAAGGCTGATGGTCAGTCCAAAATCACCATAGGCAACAATGAAGCGATTCATTTAAGCGGCTGAAGATTTCAGGTGAGTGGGCAGTGACAGCTGCATAATCAGCAAGGAGGAAGTCGCAAAGGCATCTCAGCATCTCATCTCTTACAATCTGACCTGGTCCGGAGATATATGCCTTCGGTTGCAGATCTAAATGCATGCATGCATCAACAGGACGGCAAAGAATATCCCAAACAAGATTGGTGCAAGGACGCAGTCCTGCTTTACTATACTTCAAATGTCGAAAGGGTCTGATGTTGAGCCATCGAAGACTCGTGCAGTACCATTCACATCTTCATGAAAGGATCTAATGACACTGAGGACCCTAGATAGACATGTAATCTTAGGGAGAATCTTGAAAAGGCCGTCCCGGCTGACCAATCCGAAAGCCTTTGTGAGGTCGAGGAAGGCTATAAATAGTGGCTGTTATATCATATTGATGGTGGACCTCTTGGCTTCGAATCCGCACTGAGATTCTGGAGAGACTCTCTCTGCAAAGATATACTTGGGGAAACAGCTTCCCAAAGATGCTCAAGAGGGAGATTCCTAGATAGTGTGACGATGTTTGCGTCTCTCGCGTCCTGCGGTACTTTGCCCTCTCTTCAGCAAGAGACAGAGGATTTCATAAAGCTGACTAATGACACTCCCTTTGCGGAACATCAGAACTTCGGCAGGAATATTGTCTTTCCCGGGATCTTTGCCAATGGCAAGAGAGTCCAGGGCCTCGCTGACTTCTTCAAGAGTTGGTTCGCTGTGAAGATCCTCCAGCACAGACAGGCGCTCGATGGCATTCAGTACCTCTTCGATTACAACATTATCTCTGGAGTACAACTCGGAGTAATGTTGCACCCTGCGTTCCATTTGCTGCGCCCACTCCTGAAAATCCGAAGGTGAACCGGTTGTTTAAATTATGTAGTTATTTCGTATATGAAATGAGGATGTACACTCGGCCATTAAAAAGAACGCGTCTGCATGTAATAAATTTGTTCCATACTTTTTGGACTGCGAAGTTGAAATTCTGAGGTTCGTGTTTCATGTTTAGAAAGGGAATTTTACAGGAAGACTTTATCGAGACTTAGTCAATGTAAAACCTGAGAACACTTGACGCGTTTATAAAATGTGTTTATGTGTTTACAACTTTAAACACCATATGTATTTTCTAAACACTGGTGGTTAGAACTTGTTAAGGTAACCTCTACACTGCGTTTACCTTATATAAATTTTCAGAAATACTATGCTTAAAAATCAGACCAAGAGCTAAAAACAAGTGTCGATGACAAGGACGGAGGTCAGTGTGATGTTACGATTACTATTTAAAAATGGTATACCCAATGACACTCAAACAAAAAGAATTAAATGTACGGAATCATAATATGGTCGACAAACTCATAATTCATGTCTTTGATTTGTTTAAGTACAGGCATGTAGCCACCACTTTTTGCATCACTGTTTGTAAGAAACAGAGTCTGGAAAAGTTGAATTTTTCCTAAAGAGCAGTACATCTTCAAGCGAAGCATAGCAGTTTTTAAACACTGTATTCACTGCCACTCTAAACTGAGTGTTTAAATTTGGACTCCTGATCATGCGCAAAGCTTTTTTTTGCCTGGATTTATGGTCTAAAATTAGCTAATGTAGAGGTAGTAACGCAGTGGTCCGACCAGCCAGTACCCTATAAACATTCGAGAGAAAACCCCATTTTGTTGAATCATAGCCAGTTCTTTGGGAATCTGCTCTGACTCACTTAAATTTAGAGTTTTGGAGCATGACATTTCTTGCTCTTGAGCTTTTGCCAAAGGTCTCATTGGGATTGAGTTCTTGAATTTCAGGAGGCCGCTCAAGGACCTTAATTTTCTTTGTCCTTTGTGCTTTGACATGGACAAGAAGTACATGTGATCAGTTTTGGAAGAATGTTCAGGTCTTCGTTGCGGGAAGGGGACGAACCACGCAAAAATGTAATGTACATGCATATCATGCAGGAGTGGTAATGGAGTTAAGCTCCCACTACACCTCTAAAGTGCTCCCATATGGCGTGGGACTCAAATAGCCTCGAACAACCAAGTCCAACTCCTGGCCTGCTCTTGTTGCCTAGCTTTTAAGCCCGGCGAACCTGCTTCTACTGAAAGGAGAGGGGGCAAAGGCGGGTCACTGGCGCCTCAAAACCAGTTGCTTCGGGTATGGGCTCGCCAGCCTGGGAAGGCAGCCCACCTAAGGGAAGGAAAACCCTGATCTCAAATCTCTGCTGCCCTGCGGCTATATCCACTCACGGAAAGGGCTTCACGAGTCAACCTTGAGGCTAACTCTGGAGTCGGAGTCCTGCTCGCGGCTGTATAAATAACGTTCTGGCAACTCCTGCGACGCCGTTGGAACCATGTTTACTGGCTTCAGCCTTTCCAATAGATTATTCCAGCTTCGTGGAAAGGGGGATTTGCTGCATGAGCAACAGTCTTTCCCCCATATTCACTTCGCACACTGGAGAGGACACTCCAACGTCCCTTTAAAACGTCGATACAACACGGGAAGAAGAAGTTTACCGGTTATTCTCCTGCTCAATTGGCGTAGAGCATGACGTGAGGGGCAGCTTCCGACGGTGGGGAAGATCATCGCTTGTCATTGGGCAGCTACCGCCCGCCTGGGTGCTGCCCCGTCATGGTCCGTCAACTTCACGGGGTGCGTGGGGTTTAGGGTGATAACCAACAAGCCGATCGATAAACCTTTCACCAGGCAACAGAAAGAAGAATACCCCTGCCCTGAAACTGGGCACTTGGAACGCCAGGACAATGATGCCCGACTTTTCCGACAACCTACAAAAAGTACATGACGCACTAAGACAGCGGTCATCGATATGGAACTGAGTAGACTGCAGATGGACATAGTTGCCCTCCAGGAGACAAGACTAACAGATTCAGGATCTGTTAGGGAGAAAAAAGTTCTCTTTTTTCTTGGAAGGAAACCATCAAATGAGACCAGGGAATATAGCTTCGGTTTTGCAGTAAGGAATACTCTGCTGACATTAACCTCCCCGCCAACAATTCTGTAGTGTCCCTATAGCTTCATTCATCCGTAGGACCTGTCACTCTAATCATTGCATATGCCCCAACCCTGACATCAATAGCCAAGGCTAAGGACAAATTCTACGAAGACCTGATGTCAACCATCGAGAAAATCTCTGAAAAGGAATCACTGTTCATCCTCTGTGACTTCAACGCCAGAATCGGTGCTGATCATAGTTCATGGCCCACTTGCCTAAGACAGTTCGGCACTGGAAAGTTAAATGAAAACGGCCAACACTTGCTCGAATTCTGCTGTCATAACTGCACCCAGATACAGACAGCAGCTGACACAGGCAATATCAAGGGAATGCATGATTGTATCAAACAGGCCCTGGGTCCAATACATATGAAAACCACCCCTCTAAAGCCCGTCACTGGATCGGGCAAAGCAAATGAAACGCTGGGTGCAGCATTACTCTAAGTTTACTCCAGAGATAATGTTGTAATCGAAGAGGTACTGAATGCCATCGAGTGCCTGCCTTTGCTGGAGGGGCTTGACAGCGAACCAACCCTTGAAGAAGTCAGCGAGGCCCTGGACTCACTTGCCTCTGGCTAAACATCCGGGAAAGACAATATTCCTGCCAAAGTTCTGATGTCTTGCAAAGGGAGTGTCATTTGTGAGCTTCATGAAATCCTCTGTCTCTGCTGGAGAGAGGGCAAAGTACCGAAGAACATGAGAGATGCAAACATCGTCACACTATATAGGAACAAAGGTGACAGAAGTGACTGTAACAACTGTCG